GTTTAGGGTTTAGGGTAATCCAACACTCGTAGGAGCCTGAACAGATAGAGCTGAGTTTCAGGATATAGTGCGCAATGAAGATTTCAGAGTTATGAGGGTATGGTAGTAATTCAGCCTTCTACACAAGTAGCAGTTTACCTAATGGATGGTGCAGGGCCCAACAAGAGCTGAACCCTGACTTCCTCCTCAGCCCTGCACCCGACATACCTCAATCAAACCCGGAAGCCCTAGATGCCGAATCCGTAAACTCCTAAACCTCGAGGCCCTGTACCCGGTTGAAGGTCTCATGGATATATTGCAACGACTTCTAGCATAGTGTTTCGCGCTTTTTAGGGTTCGGGGGTGATCTCGACACTGAATATCCTGAATATTGTAGAAGGGCATAGATTCTGGGATACCCTAAACCCTAAACCCCTAAACCCTAAACCCTAAACCCTAAACCCCTAAAACCCTAATGGTGAGGGGTGCATTCCAACCAGACTCGAGGATGGGCTTGGCTATGAGACTTGGATAATGGGTATCTAGGGTTTAGGGTTTAGGGTTTAGGGTTAATGGAGAATCAGATGGAAAAGAAAATGGAAAATGAAATGGACACTGGGATTATATAGGGGATTATATAGGGTTTAGGGTTTCCCAAAATTAGGGGTACCCACTATGATGGAGAATCAAATGGACAAGAAAAGGGAAAATGACCATGGAGACTGGGGAAATACAGGGGTTAAAGGAGTTTAGTTTAAGTAATTATATTATCCCCCCTTTAGCGGAGAATCAAATGGACAAGAAAATGGAGAATGATATGGAAACGACTATTTAGGGTTCGGGGCTTCGGGCCCCAAACAGTGCCCTCAAACTCTGGAATCCTTAGCTGTGGTCCTGAAGCCTGAAACGCAACATTGAAGTCCCTAGCTCCCAGGCCCCAAGCACTCCAATCTGAAGTGTAAAGCACACCCCCTTAGCCCCCCGCGCTCCTATGCAGACACATACTTTTGTAGATACATATATAAGGATGCCGAGCTAGCTAAGATATGTTGCATTCTTCAGTGTACACAATGTGTACATATGGGCCTATACACTCATGTCAGAACACATGCGCATGTCAAAACACATGCGCACGCATACATCTATGTACAGAGACAGAGATACAACGCAGACAGACAGTTGGATTGCTTAGTAGTTTCCATCTTATTTAAATTCAATTATCCCTATATCACCCCATATCATCCCCAGTATTACCCTTGCATAACGCCATTACACGACAGTAGTTTTCATCTTATTTCCCATTCTCCTTATATTGCTCAATGTGGGAGCAAGCGGCAAGCTAGGCCAACCCCAAGAAGCTCGTCCACTGCCGCAAGCGGTTGCAGGCGGTCAATCTGGCCTTTAGGGTTTCGGACAAGGGGTGTAGGGTTCTGAGCTTTAGTGCTTCAGGGATACGGTCTCTAGGCTTAGGGCGATTGGGGACGTGGGTAAAGGCGGTTTGCATTTTGGGTTTGCCGGTTCATGGAACTTGCACCGCTTCAGGTATCGCAAGTCATTGTTTCTGATTCAGAGCGCATGAGGCTTCTACCGCCAGTATGCGCAGTAATGGTCGTAATTGTTTGTTGGAATAGCATGAACAGCTTTGAAAATCCGAAAAAGGGAAGCCAATTTTGGGAATGCGTTTGGACAGCGTGGATTAGGTGGAACCCCCACCCTGTAACAGTGGTATAATGGGAACATAAGAGGAATTACTGGTATTATAAGCACCATGATCCCACATAGTCAGTATTACAGGGTGGGGGGTCCGCCTAAAGTATGGGGATCATACAGTCCCTGTAACAGATTTGGTCGGGTTTCTTTCATATTGCGTGTTTGGTGGCCTTGGGTAAGACTGTTGACTCTCATATCTGTTAGCTTTAATGAGGCCACAAGCATCTGATTTCTCTCCGCCGGAAAGCTGCATTCTTCATGTCTTACCTAGTAATAATGGGTACACTTGGAATATGCACCATTCTCCCATGTGGTACCTGTTAGTGTTTGGGGAGCTTACTCCATACCCAATCCGCGAATCCAAGCCAAGCCCATCATGGACCTCTGGAGCATTTTGCAAGAGCCCCTCCGTTCCCCTAAACCCTAAACCCTGGACATCCAGGACAAGGATATGCCTGGCATTCTGTTGGGGCCCTGGTGCTGTCTCAGAGCTGGCGTGAGACTTGTGACTTGAGGATTCCAGAGGGTTTAGGGTTTAGGGGTATCCCAATATAATGAAGTAGTTTCCATTTTCTTTTCCATTATCCCAATTTAGTCCCAATATGACATAGTAGTTTCCCTTGTCTTTTTCCATTATCTCAATGTAACTGTTAAAGGTCCCTGAGCTGACTGGTGCCTCTGTTTCTTCATGACCTTTCTGGTTGGCATGGCTTTGATATCTTGAAGTTTCCTGTACTATTCCCACGAGGGCCTTGCGCGGGAATTCGGTAGGACTTCTTAGGACTTCTGATTCAAACCCTAAACCCCAAACCCTACACCCCAAACCCTAAACCCTGTTCAACCCAGGTCTGGTAGGGTTCCACATCTCATACCTTCAGACAGAACTGCAGAGCTAGATTCGTGCCATCCCCGAGGCACCACATAGCTTTCTCAGACCCAACATCCCTAAGCCTACATCCTAAAGGCTGAACTAGCATGAGCCCTGGTTGAACCAAGGTCCTTTTAAAGGCAAGTCTTGCAATTGGATATGCTGAGGTGCAAGTTCTTTTGAGCCAAGCTCTCCTGAAATCTTGGCTTCTTCCTGCCCGCCTACAGTCTTGCGAGGAATACTTACATTTTTTCATGGCGGCTACACAGAGATCATGTGGGATCTTCCTTGCTTCCATACTCCAAACCTGGTCAGCAGGAGTCCTGATGTGATGCATTATAATTCGGGGTCCAGGGGATTGGTGAGGGTCTGTTGTCGCAGCTGAGACGATGCAACACCCTAATCGCACGAGTGTGTTGTCCTGATGATGCCGAGGGTGAAATTCGCCCATAGGCAATCTGACCCAGAAAGATCACAGTCCAGAAAATCCATTCCCTGCTCATCAAAGAGCACAATATAAACTCTTCGAGAGCCCAGGGGAACAGCGGCTTATCATCAGTAAATGGCTTGGTGGCTCACCAGCCGAAATTTCTCAATTAATCAAGTTTGTGCAACGATCCAAAGCGAACAACAACTCCGCTGCCTTGACACGTTGAGGAGCTCAGGGGGGTGGTTTCCAGCAGCGATATACGACTTCCCAGATTCGATCTTTGAGCATGCCAGTGCCCTCAAAAGAATCTTACCTTTGCATGTCGTCTCAGAAGCGTCATGGGCATATCTTCTGTAACCAGGCGCCCCTAGTATACGCTCTTACCCTGTTTTTGGTACCTTAAAGCCCCAAGATACAGGTCTAAGGGCCCTATTGCCTGTGCCTCAGATCGAGTGTCGAAGGTTTCCTCAAGCGCCCCCAAGCTCCCCAGCCTTGGAGACCATGATTTACTGTCAGAAGTTTCCTCCAAGCAGGCTTGCATACCTACATGCATAGAGCACAAACCCTGTCATGAAAGGAGTTTCAGCAGAGGCGGCTAGATCTGTCAACATTGGAGTGTAGTGCAGATGGCGACGGATAGCAGTGAGATGGTCCAGGTGGCTTTGTTGAGTGTTGAGAAAATCCATCTGCCAGTGCAGCCTGAGACCACCCTCCAGGAGGCGGCTACTTATCAAAAAATATCGTAGGTTGCCGATAGAGTCCCCAGAGACCCTCCGTTTCCCCAGAAGCCATCTCTAAGAACTTCCCAGGTGAAGGAGGCAGCGGAGAACGAGCTGGAAGTTGGCATTAGGCGCTTCGTCCGAGAGGATGGTACAGTCTTGGGCGAAGCGCAGATGGCGTGGACGGTCTCAATGACGAAGTTGCGGCAAGGGGAAGTGCTTCAAGCTTTGGCCAGGTACCGCATCAGGATAAGGCGCCTTGCCCAAGGTTTGATGGACCAGATCAGTTCGGTCAACAGCGAAGGCCTGGAGAACATTATGAATCAGTTCTCGGGCATTGAGCCATGGAACGGTGAAGAGTTGAGATGTATTATCCAGGTTATTTTCAATAAAGCCATGGCAGAGCCTGCCCTCTGCAAAGCCTGTGCGCGAATGGCTGTTGGTCTGAGGGAGCACTACCTCGAGTTTCCACACGAAGACGAGGATCAGAAGCCTGTGTCTTTCACACGTGAGCTGCTCAACATTTGTCAGGAGGAGTTTGAGAGTATGCCAGCCACTTTTGGGGTATCACAAGAGGACAAGGCCAAGTTCCCAAGTGCTGAGGCCTTGAAAGAGGCCCTCGCCAGCAAGAAACACAGGATGCTGGCATGTGTATGTTTTATCGGACATCTGTTCTTGGAGGGCCTTCTGGCAATGAAGGTGATTCGGCACATCGTGCATAAACTGATTGGCGATGGACGCCGCGGCTGGCCTCCACCCGAAGAGCCGAAGCTAGAGTGTGCTTTGGAGCTCCTGACATTAGTTGGGCGGACTTTGGATGAGTCAGTCCCGACAGGCATCGCTCTGATGCACGCGTTCCAAAAACGGCTGCTGGACCTTGCCCTTCTTAGCATTGGAGACAAGCACATTTTCTCGGACCGAGCGCGGTGCGCCATCAGCGACCTGTTGGAGCGTCGCAGGAACCACTGGCTCCCTTGAGTGCACCAGGGTGGCTGTCTCAAGTGGAGGCTATGGAGCTAAGGTCCCAGGACCGTGACATGTGAAATGAGAATCATGAACGTATCTGCGCGTGAGGTGCAATTTGTGCAGGAGAGCCTCCTCATTGCCTCGGTGCAAAATACCCATGCTTGCAGGGCTGTGTTTTCATTCTATCCGTGGGTGGTGCGTCCCATTCTCAAATGCACCAGCTAAGGGCTCAGCAACTTCAACAAAGCTTACGCAAGGACGTAAGACTTGTAGAAGCCTAAGTTATGACCAACAGGTTTCCTCCATAATCCTTTTGATATACTTATGTTATCCTAAGCACTACTCACTACTCTAATCATCGCCCCAGCTTGTAGAATATGGAAAATGTCAGTAAGCGACGGCGAAAGCCTCTGAAAGGAAGGTCAAGCATTTGTCAAGATGAGGCCCTAAACCCCAAACAGTAGTTTCCATTTGCTTTACCATTGTTCCTATATACCTCCCACACGAGCTATAGTCTAAACTCCTTCCAGGGGAATTATATAGGTGGCTATCATAGGGGTTATTAAGGGGGATGCTAGGAGTTTAGACTATAGCTCATATAGCTCCTATATACACCACATAAGCTGTTTGCAGAGTTTAGGGTGCTTGGGCTCCATGAGGCTGGCTGTAGACATGAGAGGGTGACTCCTAGGGTGGGATATTGAGCACAATCTTGAGCCCCAGGGTCATTCAGTGCCTTAGGGTTTAGGGTTTATCACGTGAGGAAGCTGAAGGGCAGCCTGCCTGCCTAAACAATGAATGGATCTTAGTTCTCACCGCCAAGGGCAGTTTCCATAAATAGGGAAGCCCAGTATAGACCTCCATATTCTATGACCCTAAAGGATCCCCCAATTTTGGAAACCGCCACAAGCAACAGCTGCTCCCGAGCTATTTGCTGCAAGGTCTGGGATGGACGAGGTGTCCGTATCTTAGATGCTTTCATGCGTGCACGCGTTGAAACTAGGAGTATAGGGTTCGCCGATACACCTTTAGCCCGGAATGGAAGGTGAATCTTGAGAGAGGCCGCTCTGTAAGAAGTTCGCATGAGAAGCAGACATCTTTGATAGCCCCCCAAGACACAGTGATGTACGGACGAGACGTCAAGGGTATACGGTTTTCTATCAGGGGAATCTGTAAAAGCCTATTGGGGAGATCCTCATTTACGCTGCCATCTTGGATCCTTCAGTCGGAGGCAACTTCAACCAAGAGGTTTCAAGCAGTTTATACCCCCTAAATCGTCCTAATACGTCATGGGTGCCTACCGTGCCAAATCTTGGTGCCTGAACTCCAAATCTTTGCGACCTAATCCCCCAGCCTAAGCTCCCCAGACTCAGGTAGGAAGTTCCACGCTGAAATGATTTTTTTTTTTGCTCCCACTCATTGGAAACAAGCCCTGGGACCTTTCATCTAGATTTTGCCTGGTCGGGAACTGGTGGATAGTGCAAGCAGGGTCTAGGGCTAATGGCTTGTCTTGAAATGTAGGGTTTCCGGCTTGGGGAATTCCAAATAGTGTTCATGGCGTAGGGCTGAGGGTTTTAGGCAACAGTGGGGATGGCGCCAGGGGGTGGAAGTCCCGTGGTGTAGGGTTTAGGGTTTAGGGTTCCAATGGGCATTATCCTTGGGGAGCAGAGAGGGATTATGACTATGGGGTTCGAAAGAAGCTGCTGTATAGTATAGACATTTGTTTAATTCTCTGCGAACCCCGAGGTCCTTAAACCCTAAACCTCTAAGCCCTAAAACCCTGAACCCCCCAAAAAGCTAGTATTCGTGTTACTGTGTAGTTCGGATACTGCCCCCACCTAGTAACAGTGGGATCTATTTCTATGTTCTATTTCTATACAGCCGTTAACATTAACCCCCAAGTATAGACTGTGACTGGACTGGGTGAGGGCAGTACCCAAGGTCTCTAAACGATTCCGCCCAACATTTGTGCACTCGTAGATCAAGTGTGAGGCTCCCGTATGACGAAGTGGATTTCTCCAGCAATGAGCTCACTTCGTCCAGCATGGAGACAGCCGGTTCCTCACTTGCTACTTCACGCTTGTCAGAGCTTGGTCGATCACTCTCATTTTTCTGTTTGCTTTTCTTATTCTCTTGAATTGTTTGCCTGCTGCGATTGCATACATGGCTTGTAACGCCGTACCCTCAACCTGAGGGAAGCCAAATGTACGGGGGCTTTAGCAGCCATGGTTGCAGCAGCTATTCTTTTGTCGCGACTTCTACTCATCACAGCCATTGTTGCTGTGATCGTATGTAGGATTCTACATGTTATGATTCCTCTTTCTTACTTTTAACCTGATTGCGCTTATCATTGTTGCGGGTGGGTACGCTGCGCGTGCTGCAATGCGCCTGCAGTGGAACCCCTTGAGTTGTCCCTTTGCTAGTAAATAAAATGTAATGTCCCCGGTCCGGAGTCACTCATTGGTTCCTCATGACGTCTGCATAGCATATTGGAGTATATTATAGTAAATTATGGTATATTACAATATAGTAAGGTATATCATTTTTCTTGACTTCAAGACCTCAAACCCTCGGCCATGAGCTCATCGCATGGGTAGACCTTGTTTGTTGGTCCACTAATGCTTGAACAGACAAAAATTGGTTGCTGAAAGCTACAGCGCACCTTCAGATCGCTGACTCCGAAACATATCCAACGTTCCTGGGGTGTACAGGGAGAGAAGTGCGTACTGGGTGGTATGCCTCAAAACTACCATAAAAATTCCATAATATACCACAATATACTATAATATACCATAATATACCAGAATATATCATAATACGTCACAATATACCATAATATACCATAATGTACCATAATATATCGTAATATACCAGAATATATCATAATATAACACAATACATGATAATATATCACAACATATTATTATATACTATAAAATACTTTGTATATTTTCACTAGGAGGGGCTCGCAGGATCCCCTTGTGCTCTCACTGTATCCTTACGATCCCCAGAGGTTTCCAAAACCCTAAACCCTAAGCCCCTGAACCCCAATGTTAGGGTTTAAGGGTTTAGGGTTTCTAAATCTCCATGTTTGGCTGGACTGTCAGGTCGCCGAGATCTGCAGGCGATGTCGCAGGCTCGCCGCGTTGGGCTTCTGCATGGCTTTTTTTGGGGGTTTACCAAAATTAGGGGGACCATTTTGGGGTTCCCATAGTAAGCATTATCGTATTTTGGGGTTTATGTTGGGGGCCCCGTGCTTCTGGTCAATGTCTGATCAAATGTGGAGAGTGGACATGGAGGGAAAGCCCTTGATTTGGAGCTTGTTCCGGACATTCCCAAGGTAATAACCACATGCCCTTAATCTTCAATTATACAGGGCTATATTTCTCAAAGACGATTTTGGGAAATCATCGAGCCATACAGATGACATTGTCAACTCGAGTTGCATTTTTCTGTGACATTCATACAGGCACAAGAAAAGGGACCCGACTTTCCACGACTGCTGACAAGATTAGATGTTGTGCTGTAACTGCTGACATGGTTTATATTTGGGAACATGTTCTTACTGGGGCTTGGTAGGGAAGAACGGAGTATGATCTCTACACAATCCGTATATATTCCCTATGCAACATATTCCCCTAATCCTTCCTAACCCTAAACCCTAAACCCCAATTATATATTCCCTTATTCCCTACTTGCCCCCAGTAAGTGTGCCCGGCCGAGGATGGCCGCCTGGGGAGCTTTCGGGTTTAGGGTTTTAGGG